ACGAGAAGTGCAAAAACGCATAATCGCACCGGCCCGCCTGGTGCGTTCCAGCCTGGGTTACTGTTTGTACTGGCATGTTTGTTTTTTTATCTGCTACTAGCGCCCATTTCCATCGAAAGGCCCATTTCCTTTCTCCCTCCCTCCCTCCCCTCCCCCCGGTTTGTCGCTCCGCCAGAATTCTCCCCCCTCCCCGCCCCGCCAGAAGACCGGTCTGGATCCATCTATGATAGCAATGAATGGATAGGTCAAAATTGAAGCAATTTCTGAAGGTCCACAAAAACAATGGGTAGAGTAATAATAATCCGGTAAGGAGCGAATCGCAAAAAGCTCAGTAGAGAAAGTGAAAAACAAAAAAGTGAAAATCTCACCGTGAGCGGCAAGGACCTCAAAATGAAATCCAGTATGTTTCATGCACAGCGCATCAAGCTCACTCGCACTGTCCACTGCTTTTGCTTCCTTGCTGCCTTCCGCTTCTGCTGCTGCTGCTGCTGCATTCTTGCTGCTGCTACCTGCTTCTTGCCATTCACTGCTTTTACGTGGTGCACCACTAGCAGCAGCTGCGGCTGCTGCAGCTTTTGTCAATGATCGTGATTCCGCTTCTATCACATCCAGTATCAAATGTAGCACCGCGTATTTCAGCAGACTTGTTTTCTTTTCGCTGATACCTGTAGTGCATAAATTTTTTGCTTATTATTTACACATAAACATATTTTCAGAGAAACAAAACAAAATACCAACATGGCACCCAATTTATGCCCAATAAAAGGGCTGCAAGTGAAATGCATTTCAATTCCTATCTAGGGTTCCGTACAAGAAACGACTACTCCTACCCTATGTTAAAATTTATGGACTATAGCAGTTCCATATTTTTTGTGGTTCGGATTACCTGTTTGCTTCAGAGATTACAGTTCGGCCTACCAATAACCGCAAATTATTTTACCATCTTCATTGCTCCCTTTGTTTTACTCCGGGTGTTCCACATTTTCCTTTGAAAAAAGAAAATGCCTTTCAGGCCAGCGGTTCGGCCTTCTAATGGCCTCAGTTTACCACTCCGTACAAGCAATGAGCTCAGAAGAAACCACATATTGTTGGAACCACAGCAATGTAAAAATTTTTCACAAAACCCAACTTAAGTGTTAGCACAGCCTTTTTTCACGAAGGGCCACAGCAAATGTACTAGCAATACCAGAACTGCTTCCAATCCCTATCTTTAACTAAACCACGCTCCACAACTAGACTACAGCCATAAGCAAATTATGCACCCTTATATGCAATGATAAATGACGATCATTAGAAGGCCGAATCATAAGTGGACGGTCCAAGTGGAGCGGCCAGAGTGGGTTAAATTGATAATCTTTTTTTGTGGCTGCTGGTAGGCTAAACCGTGGTTTCCGAAGTAACGACCAGTCCGAACCGTTGA